TTTCGGGCCACACTGACCCAAGTCTTTGCCCACCATAAGTCTGTCGATCCTCATTTGATTTTGGGCCACGCTGACCCAAGTCTTTGCCCATTGTAAGTCTGTCGATGTTCTTTGTGCATATGTTTAATATTTGGTGACAGTGGTTCCAGAACTTTGAGTTCATATCTCTATCAAGGTACAAACATCTACTGTATTCCTTCCCAGCCCGAATGTGCAGCTTCTTTGACTTTGACCTTGACATGACAAGACAAATCCTAATTCCCGCCACCACGACCCATCAATCTCTGCAAGTAACATCTCCAGTTGGACCTCCAAGTTGTATTGCTCCCTTCCTCTCCTCTCTGAATTTCTCCATCTCTCAAAACTCCCTGCCATGTTTCAACAGGTCTTTCGATGTGTTGCGCTGATGTGTGCTGCTCTCACATTCTGCACGCGCAAGCCGGACTACCATACAACTAGATATATATGTTAGTTTTTGATCCAATGTTATCATAGTCACTCACTTTGTCCTGTGGCCTCATTAATATTAGTAACATGATTGTGAACATAGAGTGCATGTTGTGATTTGGTGTGATCGACAATCGGCATCTGAGTTCTCCTTTCAGTTCTCAAGACTGAAGTTCTCAATTGTAGATCTATTTTTGGCTTATAATTTAAAAATATATATTTGATTTGGCTTTAAGCCCTTAAATTGACTTAGCTATAACTCTTGAGCTGAGCCGAGCTGAGCCGAACCGTAATTACAAAAGCTGTAACTCTTTGAGATTCACATAGAAGCTTAGTTATTTGGCCAGAAATTTCAGATAAATTTCGACTATGAAGGACAAAGTTCTAAGCTACGAGAGCACAATGGAGCTATTTGGGCGAAAGCATGTAGCGCTTCCCAGTCCCGATCTGCATGCCTGTAAGAGATGAGTGAGCTGCGAATCCCATATAAGTAGGAGTCCAGCGATGCATAGAGCGAAACTCGAATTCCCAAGGTAGTAGGAGCGGATGAACTGGGTGCTTACATTTTGGAGGGTACCTTTAGCGGATGCGTGGCATTGCGTATCGTAGATACTTGTCATGGAGAGCAGGTGTAGCTTGGAGGTAGGGCACGAGGATTTGTGTGTGCTTGCGAAGGTACAATTGGAAGGCATCACTGGCCCATCGTCCCATGGTCTTGACAATGTCGAAAGGGATGTTATGGAGAAGGTATTCCAAGGTGGCGCCTATTCTGATTCCATGACCCTGTAAAGGGATGAGGCTTGCATCTGTTGCGGCTTGTGCAAGACATGCAATGAATTTTGACTTTGTAAGAACTCAGTGACCTTTCCCATGCTTGTAGGAGAAAAGGGCTATGTTGTTGGGAGGATCGTTGATGCGGTAATGATTTTCTAGGGCTGCTTCAGGGTCAGAGACACCATGCTGGTGTGCGCATGAAACATCTTCTCCTGTGGGAGAAGACTTCGTGTGAGGAAGGTGGAAAACAGTTGTTTGTAAGCCATTCCGGTCAGTTTCACGGCAGACATCTGAGCAGGTGATGTGTGTGGACGGGTTGAATCTGTTGATGCTGGGCACCATGAATTCCCCTGCTCGTGCCATGATGTAGAAGGTGACGGTGAGACAGGCGCATACTGCAGCAATAAGAGGGTTGTTAGCATCAAGTTTTCCTAGTAGTGCTTCAATGAAGTCTACTGTGTAGGGCTGTCGTTTCTTCTTCTTGGAAGTGGCAGGGGTGAGGTTGGTTGCCACTTTGAGGAGGGTGACAATCTGGTTGTCGTCAATGGTCCAGGGTTGACTGTGTAGGATGTGCCATGCGCGGATGCCGTACACATAGTTAGATATTGTTTTCCTGGAATATAGACCCGCCATAGTGGCAATGAATGATGTGATGAGGTCGGAGGACACTGGGGACCAGAGTGCTTCTGTGATTGACTTTGTGTCGCAGAATATGTGGAAGGCGAGGATTCCGCTGCCATACAGTTCCTGAGTGCTGCAGGCCCAGGCATGTATCATGATGTCTTATATGCGCTGGACTTCGTGGTTGGGGTGGGATAACAGCAAGTTTGTGCTTGTTAGGGACCAGAGCCACAGGTGGTCTCTGGCTGCAGTGTGGCCATAGTAGGGATGGGTGAAGAGCCTGGTTAGCAGGATAGGCTATGGGGTGAGTGGACCCTTAGTGTTTGTTTGAGAGAGTGTGGGTGGGTGCAGCACTTACTATGCTTGGGGCGCTTCGAAGAGAGCCTCTCCCTCACATCTGAGGACGTTGTTGAGGTTGTGCGAGTGACAGTTAGTGCTGTAGCTAGGCTGAGTGGGTGCAGGAGTCTTGTGGCACGATGTTTCAGCGAAGCATTGAGCAGGAAGAGTGGGAGCATCAAAGTTGGCGAGGAACTCTTGGATTTCTGCCAGAATGAATACTGGGGGGAGTAGGAGGTTGGCTGGTGGATACTTGCCTCTTGAGGGGTCATCTGCAGGGTTATGTGTGCTGGGAACATAGCGGGTGAGGAAGGTGCACTTGGTCGCAGCTGAGAGTTCATGGATGCGCTTGAAAACCTTGTTGGTGACACGGTTGTGGCTGTGGCCCTTCCACCACCCTTCAACAACACCCCTGTTGTCCTGTAAACTTTGAGGCATGAATTTTCTGGGCAGTTAGCAGTGAGCGTGCAAGTGAGGAGTTCCATTCCAACTGCTTCAGCCCAGCCAATGTTGTGGTTGTCTTGGTTCCACCCTGGTAAAAGGTGCCAAGCTTGCCACCAATCATTGATCCAGATCACAATGCCAATGCCCGAGCTAGTGTCTGAGTAAGCTGCAGGGTCGATGACATCAATGGGTCCTGGGATGGTGTGGGAGATGTTGGGTTGAGCGAGGTTCCCTTTCCACCAACAGAGGTCGTCTGCAGTGTCTTTCGGGGGGGTGTGAGGCATGTGAGGATGGTTATTGCAGATGGATAGCATGGCTTCAAGGGAAACCAGGTATGCTCTCCTGGCAGGGAGAATGAAAGATGCATGAAGGAGTTTGCCATGGAGTTGCTGCATTTTGAGCAGAGTGTGTATAGGTTGTTTCTCCCATTCGCAAATGGTCTCCGGGTATTTCTCTTTCTTCTGTTCTGGGATGGAGACTCGCAGGGTCTCCAAATCCCACAGAAAGCCAATGAATGGGGTGCATGTGAGGAAGAGTACATCCTTGGCGAGTTCCCAAGGAATACCCAGCATGAGGGAGAGTCTGTTGATGTCGTTGAAGCAGTAAGTGAAATGCACGTCCTCTGGGGAGATCAATGATGGGAAAGGTGAAGTCTTCATCAAATTCTTCGACTTGGTCATCAGGCATCGAGGATCCCTGATACCAACGACATCCTCCCTCCATGAGGCAGCTGCCATTCTTGGCAATGATGGGAGCTCTTGCTGCATGTAGTCAGTTGTATACTTTGAGGTACTTACGTAGGATTCAGATGAAGAAGTAATCATCGACCCATTTGGATACTGGACCGATGCCTTGCAAGCGCATGATGTCTGCGCCTGCATCAGCCATTTCTCCATATGATCCTGTGGTCAACAAGCAGCCAAAACAAAAGCTTGTGTTGATAGCGAAGCTGTTGGTGTCTGTGTGGATGACCAGTCCAGGCCACTGGGATGGGTGTAATGGTATGGTACGATAGGCTTCGGCTATGTCACAGACAGCTGCTTGGGATCCTGGTGGGAGATGCCAGATGAGGGTGCAAATGGTGGTGGTGGTTCCCCACATGCATGGATAGAGATTGGAGTCAATGGAAGAGTTGATGGATGAGATGGGGGGGGGATGAGGGAAAGGATAAGTTTTGGACAATGCAGAACCTCCTTGGTTTACCCAGTTTGGGTATGATGGACAGAGGAGCCATTTGGAAAGGACCAATGGGGGCTTCTGTTTCAGTCTTGGAATGCGGGCCCAGATATCTGCTGGTGGCATACTCACATTCGATGATTGTATTAAAAGTGTCATGATGTTCAAGAATTGAGGGATTATTAGTTGGTGTGTAAGTGAAGGTGATCAGACGAATACTTCTGGTAAAGCCCATGCGTAAACTATTTGGAATATGTTTGTATTTATGTATAAGATTAGAGATAGTAAGAAAATGATGCCAGGCTTCTGGGTGATACAGGGTGAGCGCCCTAGAGTGTCTCACTGAGAGGACATCCTTGAGCACCGTGCTCTTTGCTTCTGCAGCCCGAGCGGGAGGTGTTGATGCAGCCGTTTGGCCTTTGCCAATCGTAGCATAGGTCTTGACCTTCGGGGTTGACCAAATGACCCACTGAGTTTCAACTGCAGTAGGTTTTGGTGTGTCCATCCTACAAGAGCTCGGCTGCGCACTTGTGGATGTTGTGACAGAAGCGGCCTAGGCAAAGGGCACAAGCAGAGGAACCAGTTCTGCCTGTGCCCACTGGAAAAGACTGGTTGGCATTGGTCTGTTTCCCTTGCTGATTTCCAGAAGGTCACCGGTAGGGGTGGAAACATTCCTCAGACTGGGCACCTCCTACCGGTTCTTGTTTCCCATGAAAGGGAACATTCTCTTGGGGTCAACCTTTTGGCTGTAATGGCGAGAAAGCGACTGAGTTCTGGAGCTAGGTGGTGGCAGTGAAGGGAGGTAGCATTAGTGTGGTAGAGTGGGTGCAGCAGACAGTTGGATTGAGTGGGAAGAAGTGGATGGTAGCAAGAAGGGGAAGCAGATGGTGGAGAGCATGTGGTGGGGAGCATGGGTACAGCAACATTGTAAGTTGGTTGGTGGTAAGTGGGAAGTGGGAGGTAGCAAGGTTTATTTTGGAAGAGTGGAGAGCAAGTAGGAAGCAGGAGAAGGTAGCGGGTAACATGCAGCGGAGCAGGAGCAGGTTGGGTTGGGATAGTTTTGGGTGTGCATGGTGCGAGGAGGTAGTGGGCATGTGTGAGAGGTGGAATGAGACGAAGTATGGATTAGAGTCAATAACTATGTACATATATGATGGTGGAAGAATGTGTACTATTTTCATTCCCTCATCTCGCTCTTCTTCTCAGACGTCGTCCAAAAGGCTGTTGTAGAGAGTGTTATTGAAAAGGCCAATGTCAAATCCCAGATTCAGGGTGAGGCGATCATGCCAGTCTTTTTGGACCATGCTTGCATAGCGGAGGAGAGTTTTCTCTCTCCGTGGGCGTAGCCTGTGCTCATGGTTAGTGATGAGTGTGAAGAATAGCACTAGTGCCATCTGGTGCTTGTTGGGCCAACTGGCTTTCTCAATGTGGACAAGAAAGCTGGTTTTGGCCATGTCAAACTGCCTCCAGGAGAGATCGTGATCCTGTAAGGCTTTGTTAGAGGCTTTGAAGGAAGAAAATGACTTCAGGGCGACAATGCTGTCGATCTTTTTGAGACCTAGAGCATCATCTGCGGAGGATTTGTTCCAGTCTCAAGCTTCATGACAGCCATCTGGGCTGAAGTACCAGAGTTCAATGAATTCCATGTTCTTGACTTTTTGAAGCACGAATTGAGAAGGATATGGGATGATGACATCTGAAACAGGTAGGTCAGCGTTGAAATCGTTGATCTTCAGTTTCTTTTTCTCAGTTTCACGGTGCTCTTCGGCTTCTGTGATTTCTCTTTCTTCTCGCTCACAGTCTGCAGCTTCTTGGAGCACATGTGCATCTTCATCAATCTGCTGTTGCCAGAGGACAACACATTCCTGGTGTTCTTGAGTCCAGCCATCAACGAGCTGGGTGAGGGCTGCCTCTGCTGTTAACCCAGAGGCTACAAGGGCGGCAGTGCATGCTGCAAAGGTGGGTGACTCGAAATTCAGTTGAATTTCAAGCACCGGGTCAGAGTTTACTGTAGAGTTATGCACTTAAGTTTGACCTGATATGGGTGTGACCAAATGAACATTAGGTTCGAAAGTTTGAAGGGGTGTGTGACGTGTGACATGCTGCGCATAGGTTCATTGTGTGAGACGACCTATTAGGCAGACATATTCCTTTCTTTGTACAAGCGTAGAGATGCCTGTGCTCAACCTGGAGACTCCATCGCTAGCACTCACCCCTTGGAGCTTTGTTTGCAAGTTCAATTCTGTTCAGCAACATCACACCTTCTTCCTATGTTGCTGCAGAGTCCTGTCAATGTGGATCAACCACTGACGGTTTGAAGGAGGTTGATGTTGAGGGTTGCAGCAAGTGCAGACATGTTGCAAATACTCAGTATAAGGACTTTTGGCAGCACTAGGACTTTTTCGTGTTTTTACTGCATGTCACAACTTAAGTTCAATGACCTCAATTTGAGTGTGACTGTCACATGAAATAGGCTCGGTTCGCTCACCCTGTGATGGTGTGACGAACTTAAGTGCATAGCTATACAGTATACGAGGTATTATGATTTCTACCATAGTTGAGATGTGGTATCCAATATATTCAGTTGGAAGGATGAAGGAATTGTGGGTGATTGGTTTACTAGTAGGTGTTTGTGTAAAAGAAAAGCAAAGGAGAATGGAGAGAACGTCGAGAACGACTATTAGGGAATGATAGTCGTGGTACGAGAAGAAGAGTTCATGCCACTTCTGTTGTTCTCACAAAGACTAAACTCTGTTCCTTCGCTCGTGCCTCGTTACGTAACAGAGCCGCAACACGTGTCGGCTCAGCTATTTATAGCTCGGGCCGCGGCTGGAACCGGCAACAAGCCGAAGGCAACACTACTCACGATACACTATCTTAGCCCTCTTTTTCAATGGGCTAGCAACCTTCTGGCAGACCAAGTATGCAGAGCTCGACCTGCAAGAGTGTCACATCAATAGTCGACTTTCTGTACACGAAGGGCAAACGTGTTTGTCATTTTCTTCCTCCGTCTTGAATCACTTGGAGGTGTGCTTCAGCAAGAGAAAAACAGATCCTAAAAAATGCTACTGCATGTAGCTCATGTCTTTACAATAGCACGATCAAGCAGCCATCCTGTTGTTTGGCTCAAGCCCAGTCATCTTCGCAACCGTATGCTGCCTCTACCCGCACCTTCGGTCATCCTTAGTGTTCTCATGCAACAATCAAACACGCTGGACGCCAGACTCGCTTCTGGCTCTTTACGTGGCATACCTCTCATGAGTATACCGACGGCCATCATTTATCTACCCGTCCATGACAACGATATCTCCTGTCACCTGACACCTCATGATGTTGTCTTAAGTACGATGGAAGCATACCGCCGTTTATTGCGTACTTTCCAACCCACGCACTATACTTACCATTTTCCACTGATTTTTCTGTCATACCGTCGGAAGCTCAGGCAGAATTCCCTTACCTATGGTAGCCACGATTTGCCATCGAGCATCGGTAAGCAAACATCTTTCCTCAGCTCGGAGGTGTCCTCATCAGACTTGATCGAAGGATGAAACGTAATGTCGCGGGGTTCCTGCTTTCGGTTCCCGCTTGAAAATGACTACTTATTCGTGCATGATATGTATCTCGTCTCAATATTCAGCCTAGGCGCGCATAATCATCCATCATGGTCGCTTTATATCGTGAAAGTCATGTCAATTACCCTCCACTTGATGGATCTCTGTCTCTCCCTGAATTGGTGGAATTCAATGCGCAAAATAACTCAGACGTCATTTTCTTTGTCTACGAAAAACCTGACAGCAATGATTTGGTCTCCATCTCAAACTCAGACTTCCATCGAGCTTGTCATCGGGCCGCCCAGGCGATTAGGCCAGACTGTGCAGGTGTAGATAAAGAAGTGGTTGCCCTCATCGGGATCTCCGACACCCTTCTTTACCAGACAATATTCATGGGTATCATCTTCGCTGGGCTAATTGTATGTACATACATTTTTTGAATGAGCGGATTTCTGATCACTGCTATTTCAAGCCATTCCCCATGTCCCCTCGTAATTCGGCAGCGGCAGTCACGAACATGATGCAGAAAACAAGATGCTGTCGTTTAATCACGACTCAACACTCTCTTGCTTCCTTGATCGATGGAGTCAAAGCGGGTTTTGTGTCTCACGACACTCAAACGAGCCCGCTGCAGATCGACGAGATCCCGGCGTTGAAACACCTGTACCCCGCGCTCGCTGGTGGTACTCCAGACGAGAACATTATCCCGCATTCCCTAGGTTTGCCGTGGTCTAAATATGAGGTATTATTCTACCTGCACTCCTCTGGCAGCACTGGCTTCCCCAAACCCATTCCAATAAGTAACTTGACTGCCATCCATTGGTGCATAACGCGTGAGTCAGTACATAATCTGCACAGTGAACAATACTAAGATGGGGCGGCGTTAGCGTGTGTTCTCGACCACATCGATGTTCCCGCGCCTATCCGCGTCGGTAGTGCGTCCTTGCCATCATTTCATACCCTTGGTATATATATTCAGCTGCTCGTCCCCATCGCCACCTTGAGCAGTGTGTCTATTTACCCACCTACATCCCTCCTCGATCCCTTGGCGGCCCCTGTAGTACCCAACTCGCAAAACATCTTGAGTTCTGTACTCAAGACGAAATCGAACGCTTTGGTAGTCGTGCCTGCCTTTCTGGCACAATGGGCATTTTCCCCGAGTGCTGTCGATGTTCTGAAGACCCTCGAATATGTTGTAAGTTTGTTGTTGATGTTGTGAGAGGAAGTGACTCGTGCTGATACCAATGCAGGCCTATGCTGGCGGTCCTCTCGCACCTAAGATGGGAAATGCCCTGGTGCACGCAGGGGTCAAGCTTTCCTGCGTTTACGGCGCTACAGAATTTGGTATCAACACTTATTTCTTCCGAAATTCGGTCGAGCAAAAGCTTTGGGAGTGGGTGCGATTTGGACCAAATTCCAAGATCAGGTGGGCTCTACAGGACGATGATACTTATGAATGTCAAGTTTTGGTGCGTCTCTGAGTTGATCTTTGAACACCCCTTCGGCGTTGAACGCTTTCTCACAGACCGTCCCGACGCATCAAGTGTCAGTAGAGAATCTTCCAGACGTCAAGGGTTATACTACTTCGGATGTATTCATCAAGCACCCGACCATAGAGAGCTTGTGGAAAATGTACGACTGAAATTCACGCCATTGATGTACTCTAACATTTTTCCTACAGCGTAGGAAGGCTCGATGACGTTTTGGTACTCTCTTCTGGGGAGAAGACTGTACCAGCTCCTATGGAAAGCATCATCTCCGCCAACCCCCACGTAAATGGCACCGTTATATTCGGCCGTGGACGCAATCAAGTTGGGATCCTCATAGAGCCACGAGCAGGGTGTGAGATTGACGTTGACGACGAAAAAGATCTTGCTGAGTTTAGGAACCGAGTGTGGTAAGTCCCCTACAAGATCAAATGTTGTTGTTGAGTCTGAAGATGTTCTTGAAGGCCTCACATAGAAGAAGCAAATAACGAGGCTCCTGCATTCAGCAGGATCTTCAAAGAGATGATTCTTGTGACACGCAGTGAGAAGCCCATGCTTCGAGCTGGAAAAGGGACCGTTACCAAGAAAGCAACCATCAAGCTGTATGAGGAGGAGATTAATGCCATGTGAGCATAGTATACATCCGTCACTTTGTCAACTAGACTTCACGGGCAACAGATATGAGACGGTGGAGGGCAGCGCCAGAGCAGGTATCGATGTACCTTTACCCACAAGCTGGACTGTGGAAGACGTCGAGGCATGGCTCAAGGTCCACGCTACTGCTGTGAACGCTGAAAAGGCAGTCGATCCTGATGTAGACCTTTTTGCTCAGGGCTTTGATAGGTGGGTTGAAAAAGAGTCAAGGCTAACGTTCTGCTTACTTCGTAAATCCAGTCTCTCCGCGACATTCCTCAAAAACCGCATTATCGGCTCTCTCAGCTCGTCTTCAGATCGCAACGTTCAGGTATCAGCATCGCGGATTGACCAGAACATCATATTTTCAAATCCTTCGATTCACCAGCTCGCGAGAAGCGTCATCAATGCAGTATTGCAACAGAATGGTACAGGTGCCGTCGACGCCAAGGCTGATATCGAGAACATGATCGAGAGGTATTCAGTCGGATTAGGTAACTCTGTCGCAGAGACCAACACCGCTCTAGTTAATGGGTGTAACCAACGCAATCATGCGGTTGCCCTGACCGGGTCTACGGGTGGTCTTGGCTCATACCTGCTTGCAGATCTCCTCCAGCGTGAGGACGTGTCTGCGATATATGCATTCAATCGCCCGTCAAAGGGGGCATCTATACAACAACGACAGGAGAATTCGTTCAAAGATCGCGGTTTAGATTTCACCCTGCTTCAGTCAGGCAAACTAATGTATGTAGAAACTGATACATCCGATGATCACCTAGGTTTGGATAAGGAGTTATATCAGAAGGTTTGCTTCATTCAAATTCCAGTATTACCGAATTAACTTAAAACAACGTAGATCTGCACGTCTGTCACTATCATTATTCACAACGCTTGGCGACTCGACTTTAACCTGGCACTCTCGTCATTCGATTCTCATATACGTGGAACGCGGAATCTTATAGACTTGGCACTGTCTTCTCCACATCATCCAAAGCCGCGTTTCATGTTCACATCGTCTATCTCATCTGCTCAAAGTTGGGATAGAGCAAAAGGACCATTTCCTGAAGAAGTACAATACGACGCAGGGGTTGCAACAGGTCCTGGCTATGGTGCGAGCAAGTATGTTTCGGAAAGGGTAAGTCACTAGCTACATCGAGGGAGCATGGACTCTACCAATACTGTTCCCAACAAGGTTCTCGTCAACAGCAAGTTACCAGCATCATCATTCAGAATTGGACAAATATCAGGAGGACCCCCGCGAGGAGCTTGGTCCACGACAAACTGGCTACCGATCATCGTCGAATCAAGTGTAAGTTTAGGCACGCTTCCGGAAGCCAAAGGAGTAAGTCCATCACTGTCGAAAAAATTTATCCATGACATGCGCGGTTTAGTTTGTGTCTTGGATCCCTCCACACGCCGTATCAAATGCTATCCTTGATGTGGCTTTCGCGGCAGAAGAACCTCCCATCGCGGTGAATCTGGTGCATCCGAGACCGGTCGCGTGGAGAACGTTGATACAACCCGTTGCGGACGCCTTGGTTGAGCGTAAAGTAACAAATTACCCGCTACCACTTGTGCCATTCTCGGAGTGGCACGATAAGCTCGAATCGAGTGCCAAGGATTTGAGCAAAGAGACCATGAAGCGCATCGTACGTTTATCTCGATAGCTGCCCAGAACATTTTCC